ACAGAGTCCTCAAATCTTAGAAGGTAACTCCGGAAACGGTAGCTTCTCGTTTTCTGTCAGTTGTTTTGAAATGAAATGCCTGGAGCAGTGTGGCAGATACGTAGCTATCAGCATGGAATTGGGAGTGCTCAGCCCTGTCTTGGAAAACAAGGCTTTGGAAAATGGACGTGAAAGAGTTGCTTGGAAATTTTCTTCCTAGGGCTTTTTACTACGTAATTTTTTTTGCCTCTATATTACGTGCAGAAGTGTGTTACCATCATCGTTGTATTTGCACCTGCACAGAGAGGAGCAGATGAGCACAGTAGTGCTGTCAGTCCAGCGTTTGCAGCAAGCAGGGGGTGGATGTGTGACAGGAGCACAGTCCCTGTGTCACGGCCGAGCTGTCACCAGCGCTCACCAGGTCACGGGTGTGGGAGACGGAGCTCAGCGTTGTGCAACGCCTGTGCAGTTTAAATCAAGGAAAAGAAACCCAGTGAGCTAACTGAGAAAAGGACAGGGGGAAGACCTCCCCCAGACAAACGAAAATAAAGGAGAAGGGAGGGAAGAGAGGGCTTGGGGGGTGCGTGGGTCCCCATCGCTCTGCTCCTCATCATCCCTCCCTGCCGCTTCATCTCCTCTGTCCCTCGGAGGCTCCTGCAGAGCCTTTTCGCTGCCTCGTGTGATTTGTTGTCGGGGCGAGGTGTCCGTCCCTTCGCGCATCTGGACCGTCCCCGCTGATTTTCCACTGGAACGTGGCTCAAGCCCCTTTGTTTTTCAGTCTGGGCTGCGGACACGCTCTGCCGGCTGCCAGCTGGATGGCCGGCACCCTGGCCCGCTCCCTTACAGCCTCTCCGTCTCTTCTTTGCTTTTCACTTCTTCCCCCCGCCCCGCTGCTTCTCTTCCCCCTCCCTTCTCCCCCTGGGTGATGGAAAAGCAGTTCAGATTTTCCAGGTTTACCGAAAGGGGAACAGGACCAGGGAGCAGCCGCACCGCCTCCAATAAGTGCTTTTCCAATTCTCCGTGGTGTGGAAACTCCTCTGCAGACTAATGGGGTTTCCGACTGGTTTCAGCTCCCCCATGCCCGTAACGGGGCAGCCCCACTACCGTCAATAAATGAACATTATTTCCTCCGACAGTGGCTTCGGCTGGGCTGTGGCTGGGGTGTTTGATAGCTGCTGTCAGGCACGGGTTAAGAATGGGGAAGGGGAAAAGGTGGTTTCAAGCTACCCAAACCTGTCGTTGTTGCATTGATGTGTGAGATTGACGTAGCCAAGGATGGACTTAGTCGGGTGTAATTTAAGCGTGAACCAATACTTTATTGCCCTGGCTCCTCTCCAGGGAGCTAAGCGTGTTTTGGGTCTGTTTAGTGAGAGCAGGTTGCAGGATAACACCTTTCTTTTTTTAAAAAACACTAATAATCAGAAAAGATTTTGAGCTGGGAGAAAAGAATGTTCAGTTATTGCCAACATTGTCATGAATAGTTTTGCCTGAAGGCTGAACGAATGAAATGATATACAGGCATTATGGATGCAAATACATGTCTGTTAAGGTTTTTGGGAAGGAAGGGCTTTCTCAGTGGCTGTAGTCTGTGTTTGTGATGCTCATCACCCTGATAAAAACAGCTGGAAGCATTTGAGAAAAAAGAGACGCAATATGCTTATCTATTCAATGTCAGGAGTTATGAAAGCTTTAGAATTTAAAAAGACACTTAATTTTTGAATCTTAAAAAAGTAAAGCTTGCCACAGAAGTCATACTAGTATTTTTTCAGTGAGAAGTATAAAAGAAGGAATGAAATAATCTTCCCCTCTCTAAATGGGCATTTAGACAGAATTGATTGGTGTTAATTGAGAAAGAAAGCAAATATTGTCAAGTTGTATTTCTACATCTATAGAATATGAATCTAATTTTGCAGTTGCTGCAATCAATGGGAAACATCCTGTTGCGCTCAGTGTGGGGCACCTGATACATAGCATATTTATCAGCACCTCAAGCTACAAGCATATACAGCTGTCTAATGCAGAATTTCTCTTTGCACCATGTACTTCAATGCTACATTAAAAAGGAGTTTTAAGCTCTTGAATAAATTCTTTGAAAATTCGCAGGCATGGTTTTGGGAGGTGAACACAATTTATGAATCTGTGTTTACTGTTGTTTTTAAATCCTTGAATTTACTGAGTGTATGTGACTTGGTTGTATGGATGCTACAGAAAGCATGGGATCGTAACTCTTTCTGCTTTGCTCCCACAGAATGTGAGAGTTTCTTGGAGGATGGGCTGAGTAGCGTCTGTGCCTCATCACAGGGTGTCCTTAAAAGAGAGTCCGGGAGCGAGTCTGACCTCTTCCCTTTGCCTGGTGATGGGATGGAAGACCTTGTCTTTGGAAAGGTAGGAAAGCCTGGTTGGGATATGGTTAAAAAAGCTCCAAGGCCTGATTCGATAAACCCGTACTGCAAATGCAGATCATCTTGGTTTCACTGGTGAGTTAGAAACCTGGAAGCAATTATCCTGGAACAGAATAGATAGGAAGGATCTGGTCCTCTCTTCGGATGCAGCAACATGAGGGATATATTTACTTGCAGCAGAATTCCAAAAACCATGCAGCCCCCCCGTGTTAAAAAGATGAAAGTAATTTCGACTGTCCAAAAGTAAATCAGGCACTAGAGGAACAGTTGAAAAGGTAGATTTTCTTGCAAGGTCATCAGGGATTGCACAGATGATGTGAAAGCCATCTTTAACTCATGTAACAAAGAGCTTTTCTCCAGCAAATGATGACCTCTGTGCTGACACCTTCACAATCGTGTACTGTAACTCTCAGAGGAACCAACATTTCTCTGTAAATTCAGTGTGACTCCCTGGATAGGAAAAAACCACTCACTCTAAATACTTAAGGCCAATTCCAATGAATAGTTTTGTTGCCTAGGCGACATACCTCTAATGCCTTCTTGCGTGCAAGTAGAAGGAAAATGTTTTCAGGTTTGCTTAAAATCAACAACAGAAGTCGTAACTAACCTTAGTCGTCCCTGTGCCCTTTGTGTTGCTCACGGCAGAGAAGGGGAAGGAGGGCTGGGTGAGACCTGAGGTACAGAGTAGCCTCCTGCACAGAGGATGCCTCGCTTCAGCGTCAGTCTTCTGCCGTCTGCATCCGAGCAGCCTGGATTTATTCGGAGAGTGATTAGGTTTTGCTTTTTAAGAATTGTCTTGCTGGTAATTGGTGTTCTTATTGCCATAAGTAGAGGATGAAGCAGCACCCGGAAAGAATAGAGCGATGCAAAATCAAAGAGGATGCGAACCTTCCTTAGAGCAGCCATCACGTTGGTCTCAGCTCCATGAAATCACCTGTTTAGGTTCAGCTTCAGCTTAACCTGCTTCAGCAGGCACAGTTCCTGCTCTGAAAAACGGAACTTTCGGAATAGGTTTCACACTTGCTTTCAGAGAAATATGTTTAATGAAACAAAATTCTGTTTGCTTTAAATCAAATCAGATGACAGTGAATATTTTCCAGTGGGACGGGAAACACCACAGCCCGGGCTAAGTGATCTCATGTGCTATAATTGAACAGTAAAGTCATCCTTAATGCATGTGGTAGGGCACAGAGCTCACCAGCCTCACGCTTTCCCATCTTACTCTCAAAGTGATGTGGAACCCTGGGCTGTGAGAATATAAGGCTGTTTGGCAGAGCAGAAGACTGTCTTCAATTTTCTCATGTAGAGTGGCACGAATTATGACAGCCGACTGCCATTTGAGGCTGATTTAATGCTTGTATGGGGATATGTGGGAGAAGAGTGCTGTGGGAACACAGTAAATTTTATGTTGTACAGAATTTTAGCTTTTTCCCTTTCTTATGTGGAAAGTTTCCTTCTCCAAATAAGAGAAAGAAAAATTAAAACTTAAAAAGAATAGGTAGAGCAATGTAGTAGGGATGCTGCAGGGAAAAGGAGGAGGTAGTGGGGAAAGCAGATCCTCAATCGCCAGTGCAGAGCGGGCAGGAGGAGGAAATGATTGTCTTTATAGAAAGGGAATTTCTTAATTTGGCACCTTTTGAATTGTTCTCATTATGCGGTGAATTGCAGACTTTGTCTACAAATGGGTTCAAAAGGTTCCTGAGTTAAATTTAGGAAGTTACTCAAAGCTCATCTCAGCCTCAGTCACATTTTTTGTCTCTGCTTTGCTGACTAACACGATTCGTTGTCTCCCTTCTCAGAATTCATCTGACTACCTTTTCATAGAATCATAGAATTGTTTAGGTTGGAAAAGACCTTTAAGATCATCCAGTCCAACCGTTAACCTAACACTACCAAGTCTACGACTAAACCAGTTAAGGGGAGAGAAATAATTAATTTCATGTTTCCTGGCTCAGTGACTGGATTATTTTTAATGAAAGTAAAACTAGGAATCATTAAGGTTGGAAAGGATCTCTAAGATCATCAGTCCAGCCGTCAACCCACCACCACCATGCCCACTAAACCATATCCCCAAGTGCCACATCTGCCCTTTTTTTTGAACACCTCCAGGGATGGTGACTCCTCCACCTCTCTGGGCAGCCTGTTCCAATGCCTGACCACTCTT